AAAAAAAAAAAGAAAAAAAAGGAAGCGCAAGAAGTTGAATATGAAATTTGAAACTTAATATCAAAGCAGCATTTTTTTTCCTTTGGCCACTATATCAAGCAGCATTTGTTCAACAACAAAAACAACAACTAGACTAAATAATGAATCATCCTGGAGGGCTCAAAAAACAAAAGAATAAACCATTCCCATGTACCCAGATTACCTTGATTCTATTTCTTCTGATATCTCACCAAAAGAAAGTATGCTTCTGAGGAGTTCTAGGAGTTCATCAATACCAGGACGAAGATGAGCATCTTTGACAGGCAAGTAGCTTTTGACCAATGTCTTTATTCCAAATATCTGTGGACATAAACAAAGTTAAAGGGGTAACCATATGCCCAAGGGACCACTCAAGGTATTGCATAATCAAAAAATCATAAAATTGAAATGAAACATGAAAATCTGGAGTTGAAACCTGTAGATGTAATAATGTTGCACAAAAATGTAGCTAATATAGTTGACAACATGTCACTTACCTTCAGTAGACAAACTTCACTTCTGTCATCCCAACATTCTTTTGCCTTGTCTTCTGCTTTCTGAAACAGAGATAGATTTTTACATAAAAAGCAATAACTAAAAGTGTAACTAGAAAACGATTGTAGGAATGTATTTTATTCTATCTCATGCATCATACATTATTGCATCTTAGAATATTGTTTTTAATAAATTCTTGGATTTCACTCTCTCTGGTTTCAAAAACAGGCATGGCACTCTGTGCTATACACCCCAAAGATTGTAGTACAGCTGGCAAATATGTCTTCTCCTCCAGCATATCCACAAGCCTCTGCAAATGAATGAGGAATATTAGGTTATGCACATTCAACATTGTTATAAAGTGGTTACACCACAGTTATTAAGTTTACGTGTTATTATTGTCCTATGTTAAAGTCTGACCTCTCCACCTATCAGCAATTGACTTTGAATGGGTGACTTTAAAAGCATGAATATGCATATTAACATAATTGCAATATATTGTGATGCTAAAAGTGCAGCACAACCTTGTATAGAACAGAAAGGGACTTCAGCCCATCATCCTTTGTTATTGCTGCTAGTGCATGTACGGCATACTTAGCCTGTTTCCGACTACCTTCTAAGCAAAGCTTCTCTAACATCAGATCAATTGAGCTGCAAGGGACCATTTGGAAGATAATAAGCATAAAAACAAATTACAGCTATAGCAAGCTTAAGAATTGCAAAAGTTGCACCTTGATGCTACTGAAAGTTGTTCTCGGATTGTACCACCAGCCTTTGCCAAAACATGCAAAGTACCTTCTTTTATTATTTCATTGTCATCTTTGAGAAAATTTACCAGTTCTTCTTCGGATCCACCAAGAAGCAATGGACTAAAGCGTGCGAGCATCTGAAAAACAATCCCAATTGAATTAAAAATAAAGACATAAAGACTTTTCTGCAGGGAAAAGCATATATATAAAAATTGAGACCATAGGGCAGCAAGCTCTATCCTGTTACAAAATACTGAAAAGTTACACCATAAAAAACATGGAATATTTTTCTAGCTGTCACAGTTCAATGTGTCTAAGAAATGATGAGTTTCAATATCATTCACTAGGACAAAATACAAATAAATAACCATGAAAAAGACCACAACATATGTGCATGCATGCATACACACAACAGCTGCAAGTACCCACATCCACACACATGCACGTGGACACACTTATGCACAAATGATAGCATATGTAGGAAGACAGGTTTTACCACAAGTATGTCCATGCAAGTTTGAGTGTAATGTGAACTTCCAGCAGACTTTTGCACTGAAGCCTCCGCAAGAATTTCTTTCACATGCTCCTTGTTGAAAAGTAGATAAGAGCACTTCAGAGACAGACTGCTCAAAAATTCATAGAGTCGATGCTTCTCACCAAGTATTCTGAGCAACTCATCCTGCACATTAGGAAAAAAAAATGATACTAACAGTTCTGCTAAAAAACCAAAAAACATATAGTAAACTTATTTCACATTTTCAAATTTTGCTTACCCGACTGCTACAAGCTTGACTGAAGCTGATTTTTGGATCAAGTAGATTTGTTAAAATCTTCCAGATGTTAGCATCTTTCAATTGATCAAGAACCTGGAAACTCTCTTCAGCCTTCGTAGGTTCAGAAAACGAGCGGGACATTACACGGAAGCAGAACAAGATTTTCTTCAGTCTCTCAGGAGCATCACCATCCTGCATTTAGACAAGAATCAGGTTGTGATTTAACATAAGGGTGGAACTTTGTATGCTATCTATAGTAGTTTCAAATTCAAAACTTCCAAACCTGATGCGTAAGCCTGAGAGCTAGGTACCTCTGCATCTCCTGCTGCAACCTGCAATTCAATAGGAAATCCACTGAAAATCGGCATACCATCCAAAAAAATACAAAACTGAAAGAGGAAAACCAATAACATATGACACATCACTGGTCTTAAACTCACGCTTTGACAATATTACCTTTGCTTCTGCTCCAGTATCCTCTCAAGAGCCTTCACCTCAACTTTGTCAAAGAGTGAAAAAATTCTTACCCAACATTTAACCTTATCTCCAATTGAGAACTCAGTTGGGAACAAAGACCCACACAGGATAGATTCAATTGTGTCTGATCTGCAGGAAGATTTGATTACCAAGTTACAATCAATTCTATTGGGGGAAAAAAAAAACGTCATTTGAAAACAAATTAAAGTTTTTACTTTGCACCAAGTTGAGATGTTTTGATTAAAGTAATATAAAAAGGTTATTAATTCATCCTAAGTATTACTTAAATATTTACATAACAAAGAGGAAATAAATCAGGGAAATGTTCTGGAAATTTTGCAACAAAGACATTTTAATATCATTTTGCTTCTTTAATATTATTAGAATGAAAGGAGTTGAAGTTGATAGAAAAACTAACAATACTTTAATGGAGTATACCAATAAATAAATGTGAGATCAAACAGCAATCTGAATATACTAATAATTTGCTAACAAATGCAAAATTAATTCACTAGTATTCAATCTGAAATGTCTTACCTAAAATCTTTGTCATAAAGACATCTCAAAATCTTCCCGGGTATCCAATCAAATTCCTTGGGTTCAATTGAACCATCAGAACACCTTGCACAATAAACTCTGAATATCTCGGCCAGTCTTTCAACAGTATATTTTTTAACAAGTAACTAAAATTGCCAAAAAAAAAAAAAAAAACAGTTCAATGTCACAAATAACAAGTACTAGATAGATAAGAAACAAATGACACTCAGAGAAGAAAGGAAAAAATATACATACTGATTTGTCACGAAGACGCTCTGCAACTAGTCTTATAGTCTCAACTGGTGCAGAATCAGGGGCATGACAAGCCACATCACAGATTACAGCCACAACTTGCTTTCTAACATTTTCATCATAGTCCAACAGTCGGTCACAGAGGGCAGCTAGAAAAAGTAGAACAACAAAATTAGCAGAGTTACGCTCATATAAACTAACAAACAACAAAACAATAGGCACATACATATAATTTCAGGAGCCTCAGCTCTGGAAGGATCTGACAGCAAGCAGCTCTTAACATGCTCAAGGACAGACATTCTAACCCCAACTACTCTATCAGTCAACCTTTTTAGAAATTCAGAGAAAACCGGCTGAAATGTTTCAGACATTGCAGAGGCTGGTAGAGCAAATAAGTCTCCAACCAATTTCACTGCTTTCAAACGTGTATCTAACTGATCAGTCTGCAGACAGACATTAGGGTAGATATACTTAGAAACTATTTTGCAAAATTTAACCAGAGAAATATGATAAAAAAATTTCAATGACTTTACAGAAATATAAACAAGTATAACATCTATTTCAGAATATGATTAACCAAAAACTCCAGAATTGCAGAAAAATTATCATAAAATATATATTGACAAGAAGACTACATGTTAAAGTAATCAAGACTACTAAAATTAAAAGCATAACAAAAATGCAAAAATAAAGGACTTCATTGAATCCTGAATTACCAATAGCTCTCCCGTGAGGTATGGAACAACTCCTGCTAGTATCTGAGGAGCACAACAATAAACGTCATAAATGACTTCATGGTAGTCGATTTGATTATATGATGAAAGATTATCTCCAGATATTGATGATATAAGAAACTGTTTTATGCCAGCTTCAAGTTTTCCTGTACAGTGCTCTATGACATCCATGGCAAGTCTCCTTGCAGCCTTAGTAACATCCTGGCAGAATAAATTCCAGAAATCAGTTCCAGTGGTGAACCATAAAAAAAGCCTATTGTATTTCGTATGGAACAAAAGAAGAGCAAACCCAAATAATTGAGCAAGAAGGCAAAGAAAAAAACATCTTACACTTCTATTACGACCTAATGTAGATAGTATGATATTTAAAAGATCATCCCGGACATCCTCACTTTCTTCCAGCACAACAATCATGATAGTTTGCATGGATGATAAAACACTTTCTGGATGATCATCACTGTACACATGAAAAGTTTAGCAGTCACTATGTGTAGTAATTTTATTCCTACAGTCAATTTAATAATTATGAAAATAAACAAAAATGCTAATACTCTCAAATACAGCCTATACCCCACACAGACAAGCACATGCACATTGATACCCATTGACAGTGATCTTTGTCATAGTATATGTACATACATGTTTGGACATTAAGTGCTTGTGGGTATATCATAATGCTGTGCTTTATTGCCTGTTTAGTGTCTTGGCAAAACAATGAACAGGACAGAGAACAATCAACATAAAGAAAGAATATCTACCATTTCCCATATTAATAGAACTATATTCGCATTTATATAACATGAATTTCTTAAATACACATAATCTGACATTCCTCTGGGTTGTTAAAATAAGTCTCTTTTATTTTGTTTCCTCAAAACTCATATATGGTTACCCCTTATCAACAACAATAACTACCCTCACCCAGGGGGAAAAAAAAAAAAAAACCTCAAATTGTAGGACTTGTCCTGAGTAGATGCCTTCCATTTGGAATATCCAATATGTATAGCAGTCCACAAATATTATCTAAAGAGGTATACCAAAATTACACCTATGGCTATAATCAAAAAGATTTTGAGTATTTAGGAACAGAAACAGAAATATTCAAGAAAAAATAAGCTACCATCACTATAGTGACCTTCCTGAAAGTTGAACTAGACAAAATAAATAAACTTTGGAAAAAAAAAAAAAAAAAACACACCTGGCAACAGCAAAAAACGTACTGAACATTTCATTCACCAGATTATCACATTCAA